GGGCCCTTTCTTTTGTATATTAAAATATTTAAATAAAGAGGAAAGCAAAGTTATTTTCATGCGAGAATTTGAAATCAGTTTATTTCAAACTCAATGTTTACCGATAATTCGATAAAAGGCCGTTTAGTTCTAAGAAGATTTTAAAACGTTTTACGAAGCGTTTGTGGTTGAATTTTACATTAAATTGAAGCTTATATTACGTATAATAACATATCTAGCATATATATGTTTGGGAAATTGATAATTTTGTTATTAAAAGTGATATTTTGGAGGGCTTTTTCAATTTTAAAACTATTCTTAAAATTATCGTGTTACCATGACAATTAACTATACCTTCAACTCTTCATATTCAGAAAACATAATGTTTTATCAGTAAGGCGAGGGTTTCTGCATGCATGTATTTTCTAGTCCTGATTGCTTTAGCGTCATAATTTTTATAATTACCGCAATTTATTGTTCTTGGTAACAGATGAATCGACTTTATCTTGCGGACGTAACCGATCATGTCGATCGTGATCCCAATTGGAAGAGGAATAACATCAGTTTCCTTAAGACCTTAACTGTCTGGAGGCCTGTAGAATATTCCAATCAGAAAATTTTTAGAGTCCTCTAACATAAGTTCAGTACAAATACATTAAATGATTAAATGATATCGCTTTCCAGATCATTTCGGCACTTGTTCGAAATGTAACTGCCGTTCCAGTTTATTGACTCGCTAACATATGTTTAGCCAGGGGTATCGAAAAGTGATTCAGGGTCTTAATTATAGTTACTATGCGTTTCACTCAACGATAAAACTAATGCCTTTAAAGTTTTGAAGCAATTCAGTGATATAGAGTTTGTTCGAAAATAGTCCATTTACATATTGATGAAACATTTTTAAACCACTCTGTTTTTAAGCAATAGCAATGCGTTAAACTCTGGAACATTCCTTTGATCTCTCCTTAATATCAAAACGAAGAGGTTTATTAGGCATCCTCTTGATGAACGAACACGTAGAGCAAGTTTCCCGCCATATCGTTGCCACATATACTTGATAAGATGTGCGTTTCCTTGTTAAGACATATATATTACCTGACCTTCAGCAGCTAAATGAATGCTGTCAGTACTTGTAAAGGCACATTTCTTAACTTGTAAAACATTACAATTAAGAGCGGAACAATCGCAGCACGCCGCGACCCTTTAACCTTGAGTTAAATTATCTGATGTTGCATGATGAAGCGAAAATCCTTTCACATGACCAGGCCAAGGTCATTTCCTGAGAAATCTTGACGGTGTACTCTCGGGTATACTGATCGAATTCGTGCTCGTCAGATGTTTGAAAGCATGTCTTCAAAGATGCTGGTGCCAATGATTGCATTTGCAATGCTAAGAGATGCCGTTTGCTGCCAAAAATGTCAATATAGTGGTGAATGGAAATGCCCGTCATCCGAAAGTTTATTACAAGCATATAGAGGCTGCATAAACAGTTGTGGTAAGTACTGTGAATGTATACATCAGACTGATGGAAGTAAGGTATCAGCTTCAAAACACTTTTAGGTCACATCCAAGCAAGTGATTTTGAATGCCACCGTAAAATGTATTTCCGTCGAATGAATTTTGCGTTTGAATATTTTGAAATTGGAATAATCAAAGCATCTTTGATGAGAACACTCTGCATGCAAGGTGGGAAGGGGGGAGGGGGGCGGTATGGGTCGACGATTCACTTGTCTTAAAAAAGCAATTTCACAGAAAAATAGATTCTAATAAAATAATATACTGATAATAATAGGTTTATTAATGGTACAACCTGTCAGTTACAAACTGTCTACATCATAACTTAAAAGTTTGAGAGTGATGAGTACCTCCGAAAGGTCCCGACGTTTTTACTCTTGTGCAATCGAGTGAGATCATATAAATTGATTATCGCGTATCATGTCTATTATGACTGTTATAAAATAGATCGAAATAAACAAAGCAAAATCACAGCTCACGAAACAGACATTCTTAATTCTCATTTCATGGAGCATTTTTATCCAGAATCACGCCTCACGGCTGTAGAACAAATCACATTTCACGACACTAAAATCAAGCATTTCACATTTCACGCGAACAAATATTGACCATTCACGGCTCACGAAAATACCCTTTCCCACCTTCGATCTCTATGTAGACCACACAAAATTTTAAATAATGAAAATTAAGTCAATTTCACGCGGTACTAAACTGATATATTTTTAATAGATGGGGATTCCCCATACACAGCGGGTGGTTCTACTGTAAGTCACATAATTATGGCAATCATCAACCTTGACCTTCCTTGACCACACCTCCCAGTTTTCGGCAATCATTGCCAATTAAAATCAATTAATGATTTGAAATTTCGGCAACGATTGCGCGAAGCTTTGCGTTGCCGTCACAGAGCATGACACACAAGTAATTTCCCTCTCACGACGGTAATGCAACGATTTTAACACCAGTACACTTTCATCGCAAGAAAAATATTGTCCGGTATCCGTAGCTGTATTATGGCTCTTGCAACAATAGATCGCTGACCAATCCGTCCAATCGCATGCAAGTACAAAAATCACTTTGAAAATTTTCTTTGTCGATGTATACTGTAGAAAATATATTTCTATGTCAAGTACGACCACCCATGCACAAACCATCCTCGTATCCAGGGTCTTTTTGGGAAAGACCCTGGTATTGTCTGCAGGTCATATGACTCTGCAAAAACTAATTGCCCAAGGGGGAGTGGCAAAATATCAAATTACATGCACAGAAAACGTTAAATTTCAAATACCATGAGTGGGATTTTACGATACATAGTACGAAGCGCCCGCTAACTTCTATTTAATTTATACTTCTGTTTGCTTATTACAAAAACACGGTAGCATTTTATCAACAGTCAAATCAAGAAACAAATGAAATTGTATACTTTAGTCGTTAAAGTTTGAAGTTGGGTATTCTCTCTCAAACGTATTTTCATATCCAACCGGTCAGTCGTCGACGTTTCTATATTTTCACTTTTATCTGTTTCTAAAATATGTCATTAATTAGATTTGTTGTTTGCAATAGTACGCGTCTGGTTTATTGAAGGTTAATAAAATTTTGAAACGTAACTTTTTGCCACAAATCACAATGTAAACATGTGGACACTGTCAAACAGAGACTGGATGATCACTCTAAACTGTCGATGATTTATCTTTGAAAATACTTTTAATATAGTTCATCATATATTTAAAACTTGTAGATAGGCAGGAGATTGTCAGGTGCACACGTAAAAATCTCACATCTAACATCTTGTAACAAGTCTGCCAACAAGCCGTCAACAAGATATATTCGCACTGCTTGTTACAAGTTGTCAACAGGTTTGGAACAACTTGTTGACAACCTGTAACAACCTTGTCGAAACTAACAGACTTGTTGCAAGGTTGTTCTGACAAGTCCGTTACATGCTTGATGTAGCAAGATTGTTACAACCTTGTGTTGACAACCTGGTAACATCCTTGTTATATCACGGCTGTAACAAACTTGTTGGCACAGTCTTGTAACAAGGCTGATAATGCCATCAAGCTTGTTTTAAGTTGTTAACAGCTTGTTCCAAACTTGTTACAACAAACTTGGAACAAGCAGTGCGAACACAACATGTTGACAGCTTGTGAACAGACTTGTAACAACTTGTTTGCAGACTTGTTACAAGCTGTGCGTTTTTACGCGTGTAGTGAAGTATAAAAATTTTCGGATGAATGTACAGAAATTATCAGCCTCAGGGAAAAGAGTATATCAGGCGTTATCATACAATCACGGCTGTAGCCTTTTTCGGTCTCTATAAATTAGGCAATCGGGTGAGAGCAATATTAGTATAAAAATATTAGTTTCTTATATACAGTACACATTTTAAAACACGAACATATAGTCATAGTCAAAGATGATTCCATAAACCGCGGCATATAAAACACTGATATGCACATGCAGTCATACCCACCACAGATATAAATTCATATTACACTTACTTGACATCATTTAGTACGTTTTCGTCGAGAACAAACCGTTTCTCTCTCTTTCTCTCTGGAATAACACAATTCAGTTAGACAAAATAATTATCACTTATTTACTGAGACCGAGGGAAAGAATGTGTTTTGTGGACCCGAGACCGCCGTTGTTGCCGGAGGCGAAGCGGAGGGCAACAACGGCGGTCGAGGGCCGGGCCACAAAACACAGTGCTTTCCCAAGGTCTCAGTAAGTAAGTGTTTTGTTATATAGTATATAAGTGTCAAAGTATGAATAATTCACCGGTTATTGGAGTGAACTTAATTTGAAACCAAAACTGGATAAATGGAACGCCATAAATGTTTAGTAAAAAGTATAAAAAATGAACTTTGGAACTTCGTGATTGACACGCATGCGTATTGCACCCATGTTATTATTGACCGGTCAAGAAATGTTTCATTGCGGACAGGTTGCCGAACATGACGTTTTCTGGACCGGCACGTGACACGGTTTTGACCAATCGGAAAACAGAAAAATTGAACTTTGACACTAACTATATAACAAGAGCGAGACTATAGACCATACACTAGAGAGACTGAAGGTGGGCGCACTTTCACCGTTAGAACTATTAAAGATTGGAACGCCCTCGATGTTACATTGCGCAAACAGAAATCTATATCTATGTTTAAACTCAGTTTGTATACTAAAATTTTAACGGACCAGAAGTCCGCCATGCGTTTAGAAATTGCTTAGGTGGGTGGTGGATTATTTTATTTGTAAATATAGTAGTTTTAGAGTTTTTATAAGTTTTAGTATTGTATTAGCTTAATTGTAGTTATATAAGGAGGGCCACGAATTTATCAGTAGTTCACACTTACTGTCAAGTGTTTACCCTATGAAATAAAGTCTGAAAACTGAAAAAACAACACAATTTGGAATCGAAATCGAATGACATAATTTGAAATGGAATAACAAAATTTGAAGTAGAATACATAATGAATCCTAACCTGAAAACAGGCTCTATTTTACAAATAGCCTGACACAAACATTAATACGATAGCTTTCCACCCACAGCAAGTTTATATTCAGTATCCAATCAAAATGTTGCACGAGAAATTTAAATTTCACACAACGACAACAACAATCTAATTATAGTTGTGATCACTTTAAAATATATCATCAACGATAGTATAATCCGGTAAGCACAAATCAATCAAATGACAGATTAAAAAATATTTTGTCTCATAGACCAATCAGATTTACAACCAAAACACACGGTATCAGGCCTATTTATTTATTTATAGGCCTGATCCCAGGTTAAATGAAATCCGCCAATGCTCACAGGTTAGTTATTGTAATTGGTGTTTCTTCTATAAAACGTTCGTGACTTGATTTAATTTCGCATGATGGTAGGAAATAACCAAGAAAACAACAATTCCGATAGAGATCTAGATAATTTAAAGAAAATTACACACTATTGCTCCAAGAGGCAAATTTCGCGGTCCCCCCAAAATTATTCGATTAAAAAAATAATAAAATATAGGTACGCAGTGCGTACATGTTGCATGCCATCAGCGCTAGCGCTTATAACTTTTGGTACAACTGGCCTGAAACTTAAAATATTGATTCAATAAGTTTAATATCAATATACTTGTTGAAAAATAGCTATTAATCGGCTATTAATTATAGCTATTAATTATATTAGTCAAAATAAATCTCATTATCACGAGAATAGGCAATGTTTTTGTAAGCGACTGTTCATCGTTAGTTGCAAGCGACAACAACAAGGTCAAGGTTTTATCGAAAGCGAGTGACTGTTTAGTTTATAACTAAATAATGTTATTTCCTACAAATTTAGCTTTATTGTAGCTTTTTAAGTTATAAACTATAATAAATTGAAAGTAATTATTAAACTATGATTGAAATTATGGAAGTAGAATGCTATTTCCTTAGTTTCCTTGTATTAAAGGTGATCTACAGTCCGTATGTAAACAAAGCCTTTGTTTACATTTTTGTGTCCAAAATATTGAGCTTTATTCGATAACTATTTATATTTTCAAGCTTCTAGAGTATAATGAATGATCAAGAAACAACAATCAGGCTTTTCAAAAACTCAAAACATAGTTAAACTGTTTGTATCATAATAAGTGGGCTCATACGTGCACATGCGCAGATCGGACTGTAGATCACCTTTAAATTTCAATAGTATTAATGAGAATTTTGTTTGATATTTTTAATATATTTCATGTTTATATTTACAAAATGTAGGCCTACTGTAGTTTTGAATGCTCGTCGGAAAACTTGGGTTTTTTCGCATTTTACGAATCTGCCACGTGAGTTACAACCATCGGTACTCAAATTTAGAGCTATATGAGAGTTGCATGCCATATATGGTACGCAACAAAAATTCCTGCGAAATTTTCGAAACAGAAAGTATTTGAAGCCGTGTATATGTATATTGATTGATTGATTGATTGATTTTTTATTATTTAGCGCATTGTAAATTCATAAAAATTTTAAAAACGTGGTATTATAGAGATAATATTAAAATTTTTAAAAATTGCAATAAGTTCAGTTTAATTAAAACTATACTATAAATTAAAATATATTGATAAGTACAATAAAATATTATGTTATGCCTATATGGTCGGAACTAAATGCGCACACTACAAGGGAAGGTACAAATACAATTTGGACACGCTAGGTATCGATAGTTGTCGTGACTTAATTTCAGCTGGTGAATGTATGCAGCTCTGGCGGTTTTTCATATTTCCAACAGTATTCAGTTGTGATCGACTTCATGTTATATGCACCAACTAAACATATATTTATATCTAATATTCTCAGCATGAGCTCCACCTTTTAATTTACTATATATACGAGTAAATTCTTAAACACGTCCGAATTTATCATTATGATAAATTCGCGGCATATTTTGAATATATCATAATGATAAATTCGCGGCATCTAACTCCTAACCCCCAACCACTAACCCCTAACCTCTAACCATAACCCTAACTTTTTAAACTTTTTTGACTTTTTTGAAAATCAAACTTTTTAAACATTTTTTTCTTTTTTAAAACTTGTTAAAACTTTTTTTAAACTTTTTTAATTAAACTTTTTTTCTCCCCACCCCTGCGCTGCCTTTTAGTGACATTACATTTATAATGTAACGAAGCACTCTGAACACTTTACATAAAGTTCTTTAATACTGATCACAAACAAGCAACTTCTCCACAAAATATTTCTTCTCACAATTATTTCAGCTATAAAACTTACACACTTTTGTCTCTCTCGCCATGCGGTCATACTTCTAAAATCACATACGCCAAAAGGTACTTAATAAGGTGGTCCACTACCAAAAATTTTTTTTCTCTATCTTTTATTACTATGAAACTCTACTGTTAATATGTTGTTAGGTTCAACACCCTGACAAAAAAAATGTGTTGCTGCCAAACATTGTTGCCATGGTTACCGGGATAAAGCACCCCCCATTGTGAGAATTGATACACTCTTGTATGCAGGATTGCTAGATAAGCATTAAAGATAAAATCCTGAAATAACTTTTATTTACTACCTAACAAGATTGTCTAGGAGTTAAACCTAAAATATCAACATTGTGTCAATAAGAACGTTTTTGCCAAGCAATTATTCGACATGTATACAGCTGTCCAAAAAGCAACTGTTACCATTTCCAAAACTATTCAACTTACTCTAAATCTTTTTGGTTTAGCTCCTAGAGCAATACATGTTGAGTTTATCCTGAAAATTTTATCAAGATAGCTTAAATCGTTCTTGAGATATCCTGCACGCAATCATGGAAATCGGCAATTTTCGCCAATTTGAGGAAAACGTATTTAAAGTTAAGCTTTCATTTTATCAACAAGAAAACCGCCTCAAAATGGCATTATAATACTAAAAGTCAATAGCTACCATTTCAGAATGCTCCTGCCTTGTATGTAGTGCCCTCTTTCTCTTTTGTATTGTCCTCTTTCTTCTTTTTTTGACCACGCAGGATCTTTCTCCTCTTCTTCACCGCCGGAGTGTTTCTGTGGTCAGCTTTCTTTACCCGTCTCTTGTCAGATTTCCCAACCCCATATTCAAAAAATTGTCCTGGCACCAAACCAAGTTCATTAAAGACTTTTGTTGCAGCCTTGGAACCAATATTGAAGTGGGCAACTGCATCATATGCACCAAACTCCAGCACATCAGCACCAACAAAGATACTCTTTGGCAGCCTGTTCCAGATCATGCCATTTAAGGACTCATTCTGGTTTTGAGTTTTTCCGTCCAGACACTTCTTCAGCAGGTCATCAGAACTAAGCCTAGCATAAATTGGTTTAACCAATTTAATTATTTCATCAGGAAGACCAGGTCCTGGTTTATACTTGTTAGTATTGTTTGCCTTGTCTTGCTTATACCGACACCAACTATCAGGACCATCCGGACAGTGTTTGTGGAGTTTTCGCCTTTCAGAGGAAGCGCAATGAAACAAGCTGGCACGAATTGAACTCCTCATGCCATCTAAATCTCCAGAATTACTTCTGATAGCAATCCCATAGTAGTTCTGAAGCTTATCGATAAGGGAATCAGTTAGCTTCCCTTTACCACCAATTCCTTTTGTTTCTTTCTTCAGTTTCCGTAGAGCCGTCCCAACTCGCTTCTGGACATGACCGACACATTCCTTCTTTTCCACATGTATATTTTCATAAGCATTTTCCACTTCATTGTATGCTTTGCTGTCACCATCTCCAAAGTACTCGGTATATTGCAGCTTACGTGTCTCCTCGCTCCTTCCAAATATCCTCTTGATCCCTTCTGTTTCCATAGATGGCGCCGATCCTTGATAATTTGCCTTGCACTGATGTCTGTCCTGCATATCAGCTTTCTTTAAAGCATCAGTTTGTTTGTCAATCCTTTGACACCCACGGCAAACTTTTGTCATTATTTCAACGTCTAAACATTTACCGGTGTCTATCGACAAGGTTGTAACACAACCGTTTAATGAAGAATACCCGCGTCGCTGCCAGGTTCCATCACACGAAACACCACACTTAGTTATCGAGTTACAATTCTCTTCATGCAATTCATTCGCAGCATCTTCCATGGTTTTCATAGCCACAGACTTTGCAGCTTTCGACAAGGCAGCATTACTAGCATTGTATGCTTTATAATGTAATGGTGGTGGCATGTTCATGTAGGAGCAAAAGCGTTTCATCGATGCATGTCCTTGTCCAATACTTCTCATGGCATAAACAAATCTTCGGTTAATGTCAAAAGAATGTTGAACCTTCTTCGAAGTATAAAAGGTATAAACCCATCCACAATCTTTACACCGTACTCTAAGATGAGAAGCACTGCCCTTTCGCTCACGTGGTTCATCCTCTAAGACAAAGCATGAATTTCCACACTCTTTACAAATCATTTGAGTAAAAAGTTCACCAAGCAATTCCATGTCAATGAAACGGTACCCGGTTACATTTGGCTTGCTTTGGGTCCCACGTTGTGGATTTTGGGTGCCTATTTTTCGAGCAGAAGCAGAAACGGTATGACCTGTTCCGGTCGATGTCGATTGCTCAGACAGCTCAGTGGTATCATTGTTTACACTCTCGACTACACGAGGTTTCTTAGCAGAATGTAAGAATTGATTGCCACGAAATTTCCGTTTTCTTGGTCTTGAACCTTGTCTTGGCATTGTAAATATACAATTTAATAAGAATCGAAAAACAGCTATACCCAAACCCAAAATATCCAACAGCGAAAAACACAAAATTTACTTGAAGTTTGATCACCAAAATGAGCTTCAAAGCGAAAGCCCACAAAATCCAAAACAAATTTTCAGCGGCTTTTTCAAATAGGCAGTATACTCTACTTCATGTAACATATGCAAAATAGTTACAAAATGGCGTCTGTGTGGGTTTTTACTCGGTTTTTACCACCAAAACAGCCGTTGCTAAGGGCGTTGTTAGGGCAAAAATATGCCAAAGGCTTAGGAATTTTCTCATTTTCTTGGATTTCAAGCTTTTTTTACGGAATAAAAACCCACACATATGATTAACAACAGTTTATAGTATATAAATATGTGTATTTTAAAAATTCACTAATTTCAAAATAAAAGTCAAATTTTTAGTAGTGGACCACCTAATTATTACATACTCCAAAAGACACTTCTTCACAATAACTAAAAGTGCTGTCTAATGCTTGTGGTTTTATGATTAACTCTATTGATAAATTCAAAATGTGCCGCGAATTTATCACAATGATAAATTCGGACGTGTTTAAGAATTTACTCATATAGTCAAATTCAAAGGTGGAGCTCATGTTGAGTCTCTTGAGGTCATGCAGTATCTTATTTCCAGACATGCATGTAAACATGGATACTGTAAATGATGCTTGCTATTTTTTTTTTCATTTTCCACCACAGCGAAGGCAATTGAAAAATATTTCTACTACACTACAACTGTTTGTATGTCGGCTCAAGAAGCATTCCTAGAGTCAATCAGTTATTGGTATTGGCTGGTAACCACAGCTTGTGTATCTGCACTGGTTTCTGGAGTAACGATGGCTTGGTATTTCAAACCAGCAGCAAAGCCACCTGCTCAGTCACACGACGAAAACCTTGTTGAAATCAGAAAGCCGATTCAGGAAGAATCTCAAGACAGAGAGACTGTTATCGAAACTGATAGAGTAAAAATTAAATAATGCATACTGACAAAAAATGCTACTCTTTGGTTATATGATAAAGACTTCACGACATGGCAACTCTCAGATATATATAATCATAATCATAGATTAAATTATTAAACTCTGCTACGACTTTTCAGTTTGTTCTAATTCAAAGGTAAATATGAAACCATACGTACATGGGTCTTGTTACTATCCAGTTATTCAAACTCATCATTAATTAGGTAGCTTTCTGACGACTATCTCGCAAAGATATAATTAAAACTGTGAGTACTTTTGAAGACTCGCCCATCTGAAAAATAGAAAAGACCACAAGAACTTCGACGTTTTGCATGTAACCGCTAGTGAAGTTTATCAATGCATTGTGTACAGCGTACAGTTCAAATAAACCCTAAAACGACGACAGGGCCGTACGCAGGATTTTTTCACCAGGAGGCAGTAAGGTCCATATGCCGAAAAAAGTCCCAAATATCCAAAGAATGATTAATAAGGACATTCTAAAAATCGTAAGTATAGTTTTCTCTGAGTTGTCCCCCCCCCCCTGTGTACGGCCCCGAACGACGACTAAACTTGTGTTATGCCAGAACAATAGGTTGTATACCTTACGAGCAGTCACTTTAAGGTCTGTTTAGACTTGAAATTTTTGCTGCGATTTCTAGTGCGATTTTCTCCTTCTGATGCATGTGAATGAGTAGAGGAGTTACGAATGTTCCGAGTATATGTACCTTCATCTGAACATTCATATCTTATCTACTCGTTCACATCCATCAGAAGAAGAAAATCCATATATATATATATATATATATATATATATATCAACAAACAAATATTTCAAGTCTGTTTCCTAAACTAAATCAATGATACAAAATGAAAATATTAAGTTGTCTATAAGCGTGCCTTACATTCCGAACATTCCATTGCAATTTATTGTACATGGCACGTATACAACCAAAAATCACACTTGAAATTAGCGATAATCACGAATAAACAAAACTAACGAAAATAACGAATACAGAAAAAAAACAATAAACATTATTATTTATTGGAAAATAATTCAAGAGTTTTGATTGGCTAAGAGCTGTCCGGGTGAAATCGCCATATCCGCTCGGTAGCTGCCCAAATTTGGAGTTATGACATCACCGTGGAATATTGAAAACAAATATACCACCTTTAATTTGACGCAGTGAACTCAATTTATTTTATTTCACCTGGAACGATAAGACTCATTTGGTAGTTAAAAAGTGAAGCCTCGCGTGAGCAATCCGTCCGCAGTGGCGTCAGCCCTCCACACCATTTCCACGCCATATAGTTATATATCCTCTTATGCGCCATCGCCTTCAGTCTATAACGAATCAGCACGCTACCGTTAGCGTGAAGAGGCGTTGGCATCTATAGTTACGCAGAAGTAATCGGACGTCACATCCTGTTGTTTGCTAGATAACTAGCTATAATTCATATGTCACATACATCACATACATTGACGGGGAGGAGTGGGGGGAGGGGGGCGGTGACGGATTCCGCCAAAAAAATTGTTCGCCAGTTGGATCTGACGAATATTATACACGGATGTGCGGATCTTATTAATACAGTGGATTGCTGATTTGTGTAATATTTTCGCTCAGATGGTGGATTTTGTTGCAATTTAGTTCGGATCCTGGATTGTGACTTCATAGTAGAGCTTTTAGCCAATAGCGGGTCCAAATTTAGGCAAGAGCGCTACATTGTCGAGTCGGCGGATTCTGCTTCAAATCTGGGCGGATTTGTATATCTTTATTTACCCCTCCTCCCTCCCTTTGAGAAAGACTGCACGCAGAGAATTGACGTTAATACTAATACTCCATAATTACTCCAAGGGTTTTTCAAAGAGGAAAATTTCGAGTGAAGATTGTATTCATCTTTAGATCCAACCACCAAATGGCCTTTAATAATATTATAAATTAAATATAGTTACCTCATATTCTTCTATACATACATTCATTCCAGCTTTTGAAGAACGACAAATCTTTCAAGTCAGACTTTATTCAGCGAATGGACATTTCGGGTTATATTCACGTGAAAAGCCACTCAAAATCACATTCTGAAATCACATTCAATTTAATATTCACGCAAAAAACATGGACAAAACATGGACTTAATTGACTTGAGGACACATGGTCTCGTAGACTCAAAATTCGAATGATTTTTCGAAAAACGCAAAACTGGACTTGATTGAAATATACAAATTCGCAAGTAACGTTATTAATATTGTCGTAACAGTACAGTGGCGCCTCCGGCTCGATAATCGGGGGGGGGGGGGATTTTCAATTTTCAATGACATATAACTTCAATATTTTTCTATGTTTTTCAAATATTCGGAACCATTTAAGCAATTTTAGCTATTTGGTCTGCATATTTTGTAAAATTTTTATCCGTTGACGGTTTTAATTATTTCTTTTAAAAACTGAACATTCGCGTCGCGTTGTCGAATCGCGTTCGGTCTGTATGGACCTTAACAGTAGTCAGTAGACAGGGCATGTTGGCGACAGGGCATGTTGTAAAGGGCATGTTGTAAAACATGAACTGGACCTTGGACTGGACTGGACTTGTAAACTATGGACGACTGGACCTTGGACTGGACTGGACTTGTAAACTATGGACTGGACTTGTAAAACATGGACTTGTAAAACATGGACTTGTAAAACATGGACTTGTAAAACATGGACTTGTAAAACATGGACTTGTAAAACATGGACTTGTAAAACATGGACTTGTAAAACATGGACTTGTAAAACATGGACTTGTAAAACACGGACTTGTAAAACACGGACTTGTAAAACACGGACTTGTAAAACACGACTTGATCTTCGAGCGAATTTATTATCGATGATATATTTCTCTATATGTACACCTATATAGAGAAATAGGTAAAAATACACGAATTATTCTGCCGTGCTCGCTTGCCCCTGCCCCCACCTTATTTTGTCCCCGGAATCGGACAGACAATAACGAAATAGATTGCACCGAGTCAACATAATTTAACTTATTTATTAAAATATTTAATCCTTTTTAGCATATCGATGTTAAATAATTTTTTAACTAACATTTTGACAAAAAAACGTCACTATTTGCATGGCATGCATTTTCTATCATAGCTAGAATGTTGTAATTAAAGGGAAATGGCAACATATTTTTTATTTTCTCATTTGAAAGAACTTTTAAGATTATATATAATACTCTTTTACCGTTTTTTCATATCTTGATTACTTCTGCAAATATTTTGATTGAAGGGAATGAAATGTCTACCATCTTCAATTTTTGTAGATATGCATGTCACGTCACAACAGGGGCATAACATTTTTATCTAGACAACCACTGATCAGTTTGCACTCGAAACTATACTCTGTCTGCCCTTCGAAATATCAAGATCACTATAAACCTTTGAAACATATACTAATCAATATTTGGTTAGCAACGAATACTTTTATATGGTTAATCCCTGTTGTGACGTCACCAAAACTACCGTTAATGAGATAAAAAAATTATCCAAGATGGCGGACATCTCATTACTTCAAGTTAAAATATTTCACGAACTAAGCAAGATATGAAAAATCGGTAAAAGAAGTTAATATATAGTTTCAAAAGTTCTTTCGAATGAGACAATAAAAATTTATATTGCCATTTCCTTTAATAATTAATTAAGCTAAATTCAGTTGCAAAACATGACTTTGGATAGACATGCATAAAACGGCACATCAAATTAAAATTTAGTTTACTTGTTGATTGTTTTTATTCTTCCTAAAATAATGCGTTTATGTACAAAAGGATATATCAGTTTACTGTGTCCTTGCAATTGAGCCTGAATGAAGATTTTACCAACAATGTTTAACCTAAAAGCATGACCGACAATGTTTCTTTCCTTGCGAGTTCGAATCCCAAGGGATATCAAATGGAACTGATTCAGTTTCCATTGAAAGAATGGAACTTAATTATTATACTTTATTTTATTCCTAATAAAGGCATTCTTTAGTGTAATTTTTATTTTTAAAAGTAAGTTTGCAATGGAAAAGCCTACACTTAAAGTTAAAATCACTAGCTGAAGTTAAAAATTTTCCAAGCAAAGTGGCAAGTGTTTTCCAATTAATTTAATAAGCCGATTTTTCTCATATTTTCGCGAATTTTGAAAGCGCCTTGCAACATCAAACGCTTGTATCTCCGTCAATATCGTACCGATAATTTAGTGTTATATATCACCATCTAAGTTCGCCCTTCCTGCATGCAATGGAGTTTATTTCAGCTCAATAACTTTTATAGTTTTTGAGTTATATTAAAATCAGGGCCTATCAGAGAAATTCGGGGGCCCGGGGCAAATTTTTGTTTCGGGGTCCTATTTTTCCCGAAAATGTTGACGAGTGGGGGGTAAAATTTTTTATCAGGAGTTTCAAAAAAGGGTCAAACAATTTTTGTCGTCGAACATCAGTTAAACAAAGGTTCAAAAAATTTGGGGGGGACACCCGGCCAGTACCATAAAGTACATTTTTGGGAAATGAGTAACTTGTCTTAGACTTAGTGATAGGCATTATTAACTCTACCATATTATGTAATGTATAGGCACGCTGAGGGATATTTATCGTAAGCCGTTAAATAAAGGACTGCAGTTCTACCAAATTCAAAATTAAAAAAAATAACGTAATGATCAAATTTTGAATTGTTGCAATAATAGTTCAATCGCAAAAATTAGATCTCTTGGCCCTGAGAATCATTGACTGAAATTCATCATCGAGTTCCCAGATCATAACATATGTATATAGATCTTGACTCGATCAGTTGATTGGCTAGTGTGTTGGCAATTTCCGTTTGCGGACATTACTACAGCTAAGCTTTCCTTTCACACGGATACGATTGAATATTTAATAATGGATTACCAGTAATATTTGCTAGGCACTAAGGACAATGAACGGTTTTGTTATGAGTTTCGTTTTGTTTTGTTCAGTTAGTGAACTATGTCTATCGAAATTCATGTTCAGTTGCAACCGAACTTAGCTTTATTCAGTACAACATTCTATGATAGAAAATGCATGCCATGCTAATAGTGGACGTTTTTGTCAAAATGTTAGTTAAGAAACTATTTAATTAACATCGATATGCAAAAAAGGATTAAATATTTTCGAAGTTAAATTATGTTGACTCGGTCCAATCTATTTCGTTATTGTCTGTCCAATTCTGGGGGCAACGGCAAGCGAGCACACTCGCAGAATAATTCGTGTATTTTTACCTATTTCGCTCTATAGGTGTACATATAGAGAAACATATCATCGATAATAAATTCGCTCGAAGATCAAGTCGTGTTTTGGCAGTTTTACAAATCCATGTTTTACAAGTCCATGTTTTACAAGTCCATGTTTTACAAGTCCATGTTTTATAAGTCCATGTTTTACAAGTCCATGTTTTACAAGTCCATGTTTTACAAGTCCAGTCCATAGTTTACAAGTCCAGTCCAGTCCAAGGTCCAGTCCATGTTTTACAACATGCCAGTAGACAGTGAAGATAATTAAGAAACACTGACCACTGAAACAGTTGTATTTATTACACCATGCAACGTCCTATTATAGTCGCTTCTACTTGTCGCAATCCGTTCTTCATATATACTAGCGGCTAACTTGAATATGGCTATATACATGCTATGTATACTCAGGGGCGTAGCATGACCTTTTTAACTGGGGGGTGTAACATCTAAGTTTTACCGACACACGCGCCACGAGGCGCCACCATGGTTGGCGCCGAGCGGAAAATTTTTTAAAATATGGAGTCTCTAGATCGTTGGAAATGGCATTTTCAGAGCCTTCTGTACCTTATACACACAAGGTTTGGTAGCTTTTATTTATATCAAACAAAACCATATTGTTGAAGTTGTGTTATTTTCGAAATCCGTGAGAATCCGTCAGATATTAACAAGCTGTGAGACTGTGAGTGTGAGCTCACCGTGAGGTTTTATAGAATCCGTGACCGCCCCTTATACGTTACATATAACATATACCATAACAGCTATACAGCAATTGACAAAAATATTTCGGCGCGCGTTTAATTTAATGACACTTACCGTGACTTTAGTCTGCCGTCTAGAAATAACGTAGAACCAGAAACGTAGCAAACGCTTTATTAATGGTCATTAATTGGAATAATTGTTGTCTTTGTTTCTTCGCGATAAGTCATTTTACTCAATGGCATTTATCTTGTTGTTTATTGTAATGAACAGACTTGAAAAATTGGCGAAACATTTTATGAGCACCGCGTGTCAATAACAAATATATAAATATAATCTTTAATTCTTTTGCGTATCATTTTATCAAGGTCAAAAGTTCGCGCACAGTTGAACATGTCCAATCAGAACCGACTGTTTTCGCAGCTCTTGCAAGTGTAATACGATAGGAAATTAGGGGCTCCAATGCTTATGCGTAGATATTTAATATAAGTGTTTTAATACTGAAGAATTACGTACATTTTGCATAACTTTATTGGAGAACAAGGCACAACATTAATTTAATTTTTTATTATTATTAAAAGCCGTTTACCGAGGAGCAAAATTCCACTTTAACCGATTTGTTTTACCGACCGCTGTCATGGCTCTTGCCATTACCGAATAACTTCGCGTTTTACCGACTACCTCACTAAAACTGGGGGGTGTCACACACACCCCCCCCCCCCGCACGCTACGCCCCTGTGTATACTGTATACAGTAGATGCATCATAGTATACATGACATTGTGCGTTTTTATGAGATTGTATATCAATCGACGCTGGGATTTAATCGCGTTAGTAACAAAATATTTACACAGCTGTGTTTTAACTGCCGGACAAATTAACCGTTGACAACATTTGCGCTAGAATCGTGCTTGCTTGAGCTAAATATAAACTTTCCACATCTTATCCTTGACTCTCTTGTGTCATTTGCTCAGTCGGCATTAGGAATTCCTCTTTACCAGTTTCATAACTATAGCACCGTCTCGTGGTACTTGCACAACGATTACACAGATTATGGTTATTTATTTAACTGAGATCAAACAATGCAATTTCTGTTAGTCCTTCGTTATTTACTGTAATTCTCATTATCTTTTCGATAACAATCTCTCTGTCTTGAAATTCCTCCTGAATCGACTTTCTGATTTCCACAAGGTTTTTGTCGTCGAGCTGAACCGGGGCTTTGCTTCTGCCGCAATTTATTTGGCATAAATTTATATATTTTATGAGTGATTTAAAGGCAAAGTGTAACCGAAATTATAGCAATTCATGGAATAATGGTATTATATAATCCATGTAATACACGGATTATATTCTATATTTTGTAACACTAATAGTCTTAAGGCTAGGATAACGTATATACCCTGGTTGAAATTGATTTCGGGAGAAAAAGAATTGACAACACAACCATTTTCCAAATCGGTGTGTTAATTTAATGTTTTGTGATTGCATGATAGCAAATCCAATCGTCGACTAGCTGACGTACGTTACAATAAAGGAATTTTCGTTTTTAGATGTTGGGTCACTGATTGTAATTGTAATGTTCAAAGGAGCCATTTGCTGCCAAAATGGTAAATTTAAACAGCAACCAATCACCATGTATCATCGTTGAATGGGATCAGTTTAGGGGCAATCGAAAGGTCGTAACTAGGCAACAAAGGAAGCGCTCTCAATAGTATGTAGCCAACACATCAATCACAAATGTGATTTTCTGAACATTTAGGTACGAGAAAGCCTTCAGATCACGACGTGGTAATCCTCAGATATATAGTCATAGACTGTTTATCGCTAAGTTATTGAACTTATTCTCTAACGATTTATTGCTAAATTATTGAACTTATTCTCTAACGAAGGGGTAACCCTCAGATGTATAGTCATAGATTGTTTATTGCTACCGATTACTGAACGTATTCTGTGAACGTTTAGCTACGAGAAAACCTTCACGACGTGGCAACCTCAGATGTATAGTCATAGATTGCTTATTGCTAAATTATTAGTGAACTCAGTTAATTGCTACAACTTTGGACAGAACCCTTGAGCCGACCATTAAACCAATATTGCAAAGTTAATGCGCATTAACAAAACAAATTTCATCACCCCCCTTTCCCGCAGTTCAATGCGAAACAGCTTTTGGTAATTTAGCATGACGCAAGTTCAATATTGAATTGGGGGAGCGGGGACTTACGAAGAGCAACATGTGATTCCACATGTATGGAATCATAAGAGGTATGCGAATTTTGCACAGAGGAAACAGTAGTCTCAACCAGTTTTATGTCCAAGCCAGGCTTTCTGGCATCCTTGTGTAGAAAAGTAGGACAAAAGTAGGACTAGAATTTTAGGAAAAGTAGGAATAAAGTAGGAAAAAGTGTAGAAAAGTAGGACAAAAGTAAGAGTTTTGGAGATATGCAAATAACACAAAAATATACAAAATTGCCACCCCTAGGATATATGTGGTAAGGGGTAGATCATTAGATATCTGATGGGGAAGTTGCATGTGTGAATTTTTGGTGCTCAATATTTTTATGTACTCATTCATCTATGCAGGATTTTTTCTCAAAACTTTTAAATTGCATCGGTATAAAAGCAGCAACACAATTCAAATGCATGTATTGGGCTACACAATGCACCAATCCACACTACGGCAGGAGCGTATGTCAGGGCAGGAAGCTCTTTTCGATTAGGGGGGGGGGGCTGAAAGCGAGGGCCGAAAGCCCGAGGAAATTTTTAAATTTAGAGTCTCTGAAATGCCATTTCCTGGACTTTGTGGAAAATTTGACAGAATTCTAATGGTCAAGAAACAGCGTTTTAGTATGTCGAAATTTACAATTTAGTAGTACTAAATGGGCGAAGGCGTATTTAACCAACTATATATTCGATAAGTTGCAGAAAAGTATGGGTAATATCTTCATTCTTTGCAGTTCGCATGTCATAGATTAAATGATAAAGGTCTGCATGATTTTGAAAAAAATGATTACTAGCGAATTATTGGGGAGCTGCAGCCCCCGGTTGCTACGGCCCTGTATATATGATGCTTGATTAACTGGGGGGGGGGGGGGGGGAGTTGAATATTTGGAATCTCTAGATCGTCGGAAATGATACTTTCAGAGTCTTCATTAATTTATTGATTATGATTCTAGAGATGCTATGAAATTATATACTCGGAAAATGTACTTCTCCTCCTGAGATCTTATCATCTGGGACACAAATATAGGGAATAAAAATTACGAGTCCTATAGATCTAATTACGAGAGCTATAACATACTGATTCCCCAAGCTGTCTTAAAAAAAGTAGGATTATATGAGAAAAAGTAGGAAAAAGTAGGAAAATCAAGCAATTTTTAATAAAAAATAGGAAAAGTAGGAAAGTTGAAGAAAAGTAGGAAAAGTAGGATGGCAAGAAAGCCTGGTATATAAATATAGATATTGTTATGAATCAAACAATTAAGAACAGTCATAGCAAATCCTTACCTGGATATCAAATGACTGTATATAGACTGGTAGAAGCTTGGAATAAAGCTAAAAAATTTGATAAATTTTATTTAATCATTTTATGTCAATTATTTACATCAGTGACCCTATGACAAATTAGAACTACCACTTACATAGAGCCTAAAGTTTGTAGAAGATTTTAAAAAGTTCCAAGAACAACACAGTTCCAAAAAATTATATTTATATAGCATTAACCTACCGGAGATGCAATAAACTTTTTCCTCAAGCTGGGATACTGCATCGAGAGTTCTGACAACAGACTTAGAACGCTGGATACAACCTCCTGGTCAGGGTTATACACTACAAAACAGAGGGAAAAGTTGGGTATTAAGATCTTCTTGCAACAAAAACGCCAATACAAATAGCACCTAGTTACACTAATAAAAAAGGGACATTTTCTTCACATAGCACTTTATTAAAGGTACAGCATAAGGCACAGCTACTAAAAGAGATGTCACTAGATTTTACAGTACAATCTACTCTGAAAGAGAGCCTTACTATGTTGCTTAAGTAAATCCAAGACATCATAATTCTTTAGGAATTCATCAACTGTCAAAGCTGGTTTCTCGTCATTGAGAACACCTCTTAGCAGGTGAAAACAGCCTTGCAGCATTGTCCGTTCTGATCTCCATATGCACGGAGTTGAAAACCATTTGTTCAAAACCTGAAAACACAAAGGAACAGAGAAATTAGATCCATAAAAGGTTTGGTGAGATGTGGAATAATGTCAAAGGAAAACAGCTTGCAAAGAAGAACAATGGTTTCAGAATTTCAACAAATGATGGCTTGCAAAAAAATAGAGCATAGGATTCAACAGTACCTTAATAAAAGGCTTCAATTTCAGGATCTCTGGTTTTGAAATTTTAGGATTAGACACTATCTAATGTTATAAAAGAAAATACATACACATCAAACAATTAAATATAGTATACATCGAACAACCCTTTAAAACAGTACAGGCACCATACCATCAGGCCTGTGACATTGGCCATATTACTACAGCCAAAACAGGAAATACATGGCAAAATAAACCAAATACCACATGTGATTTGTGATGTTTTTATATTTAGAAACACTCAGGGACGCCGGAAGATCGATAATTGGGGGGCATATATTCATATATTCGTGTTCTGCCCAATTAATTTCTTTTGAAATCGATTGTTTTTACAGTCTGTGAACACGAATATATGAATATCTGCCCCCCCCC